AAGAGTGGTCAATTTGCACCCAGGCTCCGACAACCGGGTACGCGTAGTAGATATCATAACAGAGAAGGGCAAAGTAACAAGACCGCTTGTCAAATTAGTGTTATTACCGCCACATTCCACTGAGACAGAAGAAACGATATCTACTGTATAAACCTATACGAAGACCATTCCATTGCAAATAAACCAGAACTCTTCTAATTACTACCAGCTCTCAAAGGCCTCTATATTCTAAACCACTACTTTCGTAACTATTAAACAAGCACATTTCATGCCTTTTTTTAACGTCTTCATAAGCAGAACTTGCAACAGGGAATATTTGAGGGGAAGTCTCTCGTCACTGTTTACCGTCTTTTATATGAAGCTTCTTATCTCGCACTCAAGGGTCATTCCATGTTAAGATGTACACGACTTAATGTTTAAAATTGCATAAGTATCCATTATTTGAGAGAGTAACATATAGCTTATTTATTTTACATAATTGTTGTACACCAGTCACAGTGGAATTACCCACTAGCCAAGAAATACAAGGTAGAATTGCGTTGTTAAAGGAAACCACAACAAAACTATTTACTCGAAATTTCATAAACAATTAGTAACTGCCAGAAAGTTAGCTGTTTCTTGCCCGCTTTAGTGTAAACAATTTTGAGGGCTTTAGCGAACGTTTATCCAGCTAGGAGCAATAAATAAAGAATACAAAGAATTAAAGTAACGCTTACCCCGTTTCTCCTCCGCCTCTGCGAACCCTCGCTGGCATGTTGGTTTGATCCGATGAACTGCTGCTTCGATAGGAGTGTTCGCGTCCCAATGGCGTATCATTCGTAGGGCATAAAAAAAAAAAAATAATAATAATAATTTCGATGACACTAATATTAAATGTTTGTTCCACTCGTGCGGCAAGTGACAAGGCCTTGTGTTAACAAACCAATCAAGACCAAACAAACGCACAAACGTGTTCCAATCACCAAGCACTCTATTTTATATCTATACATATGTATGTATGTGGCACATTTACATTAGGAGCGTTCCTTATCTCCCAGAAATAGTCAGAAAAAGTCCGAAGTAGTCAGATTTAGTCCAAAAAGCGTTCCTTAACTCGGAAATGACAGCATAAATGAGAGAGCAACAGTCAGTGAGAGTGACTCTCATCAGTCCGAAGTAGTCAGATTTAGTCAGAAGAATTTTTTCTGGCAAAATCCTGAAAAGTGTGAAACACAACTGAATTTAAATTAACGGAAATTAAAGAATACGCAAAAAGTGAGAATAATCTAAAAAGTAAAAGAAATGAATTGAAATTGGAAGGAGGCCAAAAATAATTGATATAGTAAGTGTTTATTGTGCTTGTGCTTGTGTGAATGTGTTTTGTACATACATTTCTGTTCTTATTTGACGTTAGTTTGGTTGTTGCCATTCTTTGGACTAAAAATTTGTTTTTTTGCGTTCCTTTACTTTTCTTGTTATTCTCTTCTAGTGAGCGCATTTTGCTTACGCTCTGGCATTTTGACACTCTTCAGATTTTAGTCCAAAAAGATAAGGAATGAACCTATTAACTGTAGTAAATTTTTATAGATTTCTTGAACGCACATACACATGTACATATACACCGAATTATGTTTGTTGTCAGCTTAAGAAAACAGTGTAGCAAGCGTAAAACCCTTGCAGTTATTAAGTCTAAACAAACGCTACACGTAGTTTTCTTAGTATGGCCGCAAATACACAAGAACCACTCGCCACAATACACGTCCATCTTTCGTCTTTGCTTTTAAATTAAATTTATGCTTTTGATTGTTTTTTTTGTCACACTTTGTTGGTTTCCTTTATCTCACAGGCCACGGGTACTGCCTTTCCACAATTCACGTCCACCTTTCGTTCTCGCGTTTATATTAAATTTTTGGGTGGGCTTTAGATTGCTAACCCCGGAGTTCAGCATTAAGGAAAATATGGGAGGTAGATGGGGGTCTAATAGTTCCCTGTATGAAGTTTCAAAGCGCGCAACTTTATAGTTTTTAAGTAATTTGTTATTAAAGTTTATAATTTTCACCAACTTGTATTGGACTATTTCACAATATATAATGCACTTTCCACTAAATTTACACGTTATTTACACTCAATACATGCGCAGTTAGATTGTGCACGTTCAAACAAATAAATACTTTTAGTATATTACAGCTTTTTTATAAAAAATTGATTGTTGTTTAATTTTATGAGAGTACATGCAGAATATGTGCAAATGGCAGCAGGACTGTGTTGCCATATGTAAAAAACCAAGAGTGGAAAGCAAGCCCAAAAGAAAATACGATTAAAAGGAAAATACGATAAGGTTATTTTGTTCAGATAAAAATAAATAGTAGGGGGACTGGGATCATATTCCCCTCTTCCGGCAACACAGAAAGGAGAATTCTACTGCCTGAGGGTTATAATCCCTAAGTGCGGCCGAAGGCCGCCTACGCAGAAAGGTGTTCTATGCAAAAGGTGTTCGGCCCCTTTTCTTTGGCAACACAGAAAGGAGAATTCTACTGCCTGAGGGTTATAATCCCTAAGTGCGGCCGAAGGCCGCCTACGCAGAAAGGTGTTCTATGCAAAAGGTGTTCGGCCCCTTTTCTTTGGCAACACGGAAAGGAGAATTCTGCTGCCTGAGGGTTATAATCCCTAAGTGCGGCCGAAGGCCGCCTACGCAGAAAGGTGTTCTATGCAAAAGGTGTTCGGCCCTTTTCTTTGGCAACACAGAAAGGAGAAATCTACTGCCTGAGGGTTATAATCCCTAAGTGCGGCCGAAGGCCGCCTACGCAGAAAGGTGTTCTATGCAAAAGGTGTTCGCCCCCTTTTCTTTGGCAACACAGAAAGGAGAATTCTACTGCCTGAGGGTTACAATCCCTAAGTGCGGCCGAAGGCCGCCTACGAAGAAAGGTGTTTAGCCCCTGATCCCCCTACTATTTATTTTAATCTGAACAAAATAACCTTATCGTATTTTCCTTTTAATCGTATTTTCTTTTGCTCTTGCTTTCCACTCTTGGTTTTTTACATATGGCAACACAGTCCTGCTGCCATTTGCACATATTCTGCATGTACTCTCATAAAGTTAAACAACAAT